TAAAATGGCCCAGTTTTACAGATTGGTCTTTCATTAGGGGTCTGCTGAGGGCTTACGTGTTAGTGAGATTGAACCATTTGAAAAAGTAAGCATCAGTCTCTGCATTAGAGAGCGGGTAGTCAGCAACACAGATCTCTCATTCCTAAAAAGCCACCAGTATTTAAGGTCAGTGCCAACTTAATTTAGGGGTCTAGGGCTAGGAAATCTGCTGAAGCTATTCTACCTCGTCTACCTTTTACACACTGAGCTATGTCCCCAGCCTTTAAAAGAAAAAAATTGAGACAGGGTCTCGCTACATTGCCAAGGCTGGGCTCAAATTTGCAATTCTTCTACTTCATTGTCTAAGAGTGCTGGAATTACAGGCATATAGCACTGGGCCTAGCTCCAGAGTGGTTTTTTGTTGTTTAATTAAATTTTTTTTCCTTTATTTTAAATCATTTGTTTGTCTTGCTGTGCAACTCGGACTTGTAGTGATCCTCCTGTCTATGTCAGCCACTGAAACCGGGCGTGGTGGTGCACGCCAGAGTGTTTTTAACAAAAGATTGAATTAGAATTCAGGTGTGCTAATTCTTAGACCAGCATCTTTCAAATTTACTGCTTGCCTCCAGCGATTTGCTGTCACAGTAGAGGAATTTTTTTTTCTCCTGGATAATTTATGAGAGCCCTATATTTCTGGAAACTTGTCTTTTATGTAGCATTTTAGAATGTTAGAACAAGAAGTACTTAGTATATACCAGTTGCCCTTTATTTTGTGAAGAGGAAAGCCACACCAGGCAGGGCGTGTGGCGCATGCCTGCACTGAGGCTAAAGCAGGAGGACTGCTGAATTGAAGGCCAGCCTGAGCTACACTGTGGGACCCTGGCTCAGAGCAAGCAAACAAACAGAACAGCCAAAGAAGATCTTTGAAATGTGGCTTCGTTACACAGTAGTCTCTTGCTTCCTGATCCAGTGCTCTTTTCTCCTGCTGCCCCTTCAGAGGGTGATACTGTCGGGAAAAGTGAGAGTCGGAATGAACCGGCTGAATCTGAACGATGCTTTCCCCAGCCAGTATCTGGCTTGTATCAAAGGCACAGATGGTGGGGATGACAGAGCGCAGCTTCACTCAGGCTGCCGTGCTGGTGCCCAGGAGAGGCCCAGGCGTCTTCCCAGTGGTGTGTCCTTCCTCTTGTCTGGTGCTGCTGGATCTGTTTTCCTTCTTCCATTGCGGGACCGGATCATTCCAAGGAGGATCTGAGGTGAGGGAAAGTTTTCTGCTAGTCAAGAAATTATGTTTAAGGAGTTTATCATGGAGATGTCAGATCAGAAACTTTCTGGAAAGCTTTAACAGTGAATTCTTTGGAAGAATGTTTTCTGCAGTGGCATATATGTATATGGAGATGCAATCTTCTAGGCTTGCACTTGTTTTAAATTATAGTCACCTTAAGCATTCATGAATAGATAGATACATTCAGGTAACTTAATATATGTTCACCTATGCATTCATAGATAAATGATTAGTACATATATATAGGTGAACATTACATGTACTTGTGTGTATATATGCTTAGTTATCTTCCTGTCTCAGCCTCCTGAGAGCTGGTATTACAGGCATGTGCCACCATGCCCGGCTAGTACAGTTTATATTTATTTATTTATTTTTTTGTATTTTTAGTACAGGGTCTACAGGGTCTTACTACACAGATCAGACTTGTAGTGATCCTCCTGTTTTCAGCCTCCCAAGTGCTGGGATTGCAGATGTGCGTCACCATGTCCGGTCTCAGCACACCCTGGGGGTAGGGCCAACCTGGCACGCTAGGGATCGAACCTGGGTCCCTGCACTTGCCTAAGCAGGTGCTTTAGTCTGCTGAGCTATCTGGCTGGCTATGGCACAGTTTCTTTTTAGGATTATATCTCTCTTTGTGTTGCCCTTCTTCATATACCGTTAGTTATTAACTGTAACTCAATTTGTATATGCTCACACATGAATTATCTCCTGTGAGTCTCATAATGACCATGGGGGTTTGGCAGGGCAAGGGCTATTATCCTGATTTGCAAGTTTAAGTTAATTAGGTTTAGAGAACTTAAATGACTTATACGAGATGACTCAGCTAATACGTGATGGGAATGTGTTTTAAACTTAAACCTTTAAACCCTTTGCTCCCTATAACCCAAACACAACTTTGATGCCATTTTCTTTGGTCAACTTCTCTATTTTTCAGCACTTGATTTTCTTATCACTTAGTAGCTAATGTATTAGGGGGAAAAGCAGACTGTTAACTTGATTTCAGTCCTATTTTCTTACTGATTTTTATACCTTAAACCAGCCCTTTCCAAATCTCAGTTTCCTCACTGTAAAATGAAAGGGTTCACAGTACTTTCTGTTCTGTTAACTGTGCTTTGGCATTTGATTTGTTTATATAGAAATGTACAGCATCACTAAATTGAGCAATGCTTCTTTGTTTTTAAATATGATGTAAGAGGAATGTTCATAATCAGAATACTCCATCTTCAAAGATAATAGCAGTATGTTAGTGTAATGCAGTGAAGATGTAGTGTTGCAGGCTGCCTGCCTTGATAGCTTGGGTAAGAAAAGCAGATTTTGCTTAATTGTATCATGAACTGGTATGTCCAGAACATTGTCAAAACTTGTCTTACTTCTCATTCTGTGAATTGTTTTGTGTGCTGTAGAGCCAGCACTATCTTATATGTTGAAATTGGGCTCTGACATTCTCTGGGCTTGCTTTTTGCTGGCAAATATGTTAAGTTTGTTAGAATATGTTTTACTTCTTATTTTCATTGGTAGTGAGCTGGAAAGTCAGTTTCTTTTTGGGCCTATAGGAATTAAAGAACAGAACCAAACACAGTATCTATTTTTAAAATTTATTTTCTGCTAAGATCTGCTTCATTTTGCATTAAGCCCAAGTTATTAGTATAAGATGCATCTATTTTTAAAGAAATGTATTTAGTGCAGAGTCTACAGGATCTTACTACATGGATCGGACTTGTAGTGATCCTTCCTGTTTTTCAGCACCCAAGTGCTGGTATTACAGGCGCACACCACTATGCCCAATCTCATTCACTGTTTCAGCACGCCTCAGGGACAGGGCTGGCATGGCAGGCCAGGGATTGAACCCCTGGCCCCCGTGTCTGCCTAAGCAGGTGCTTTAGTCCGCTGAGCTATCTGCCTGACCCTTCCATTTTTTAAAATATACCACCCAGGGAAAAGAACCTGCCATTCAAATCATAAAATGCTTTAATTACAGGACCTATCTCTAGTTTAGAGGGTTTGTTGTTGTTGTTTTTGGTGTTTTGTTGGGGTTTTTTTGTATTTTAGGGAAGCATCTCAGGGTGTTCAGGGTCTCACTACTAGTTCGGATTGGTAATGATCTGCCTGTTTACAGCCTCCAAAGAGCTGGGATTACAGGCATGCACCGCCACACCCTGTCTCTTTTTGTGGCTTTGCAAACTTTCCCCTTTCTGGGCCACTGGGCCTCACCAATGCGGAGGATGAAAGTTCCCACTGCGACCCGCCCTGCCTGTACCTGTGGACTCAGCCTTCAGCGGAGAGCCTAGTTTAGAGTTTTGAATGTGAAAAAATATACATCTCGGAATCAAGGAGATATAATTGATACATTGAGAGCACTTGGTTCTGTTCTTAGATGACAAGCCCCTGTTTTTGATTAGACTTCACATGATTAATAATTCTTTCCTAAGCCTCTTCTCTGTCCCCATGGGCACTAAGCATGGATGTAGAAAGAGCCTTCTTCTTCTTCTTCTTCTTCTTCTTCTTCTTCTTCTTCTTCTTCTTCTTCTTCTTCTTCTTCTTCTTCTTCTTCTTCTTCTTCTTCTTCATCATCATCATCATCATCATCATCACCAGGGCTTGACCACAAGGCCTTTTGTATTGAACTATATCCACAACCCTTCCCTCCTTTTTTGAGACGGTCTTTCTAAGCCACTAAACTGTCTAGGGTGATCTCAGACTTGTGGTCTTTCCTGCCTTAATCTCCTGGTGTTCTGTAATTATAGGAGCACATCTATGCCTGATTTACAAATATCCTTTCCTAGGCTGCAGGTTGATCATGATATTCCATGGGTGGCTCAGGACTGTGGCATGGATTGTTAACCTTTCTCTTAGAATGCGGGAAATCTCCTTAAGCATTAAAAGTTGGAACATGATGATGATGTAGATACAATTGTAGCATGGTATTTAGAATTAGCTCATGATTTAGTTTTTGAGTCATGTATTTAACATGTATATGTCTTGGGAAAATTGCTTAACTTTTCTGAACTATAAAGTCTGTAGAAGCGGATACAAGCTGTGCATGGTATTATGTGCCTGTAATCTTAATCAGGAGGTTGAAGCAGGAGGATTGTTAAGTTTGAGGTCAGGCTGAGAAAATTAAGGAGATTCTATCTCAAAAAAAGGCCTGGGGATGTAACTCAGTGATAGCGTACTTACCTAGCACGTGTGAAACTCTGATTCAATCCCTGACACTAGAACTTAACCCTCCCTGCAAAAACCTATGGGTGCAGTCATAGTACTGTAGCTGTAGTGAGGACGAGAGGAGATGATGATGTCATGGACGTAACAAATGTGGCCCTTGCTACCATTTATATTATTATTATTGTTGTCTAAAACTGAGAAGTGTTTTACAGATAGACTTCCTTAGCTTTTAAGAAGGGATTATCTCAAACCAGGCATAGGGCACTTGCCAGGAGGCTGAGGCAGGATTATGTAAGTTTGAGATCATCCTGGACTATATATATAGTGAGTTCAGGCCCAGCCTAACCAGACCCTGTTGCAAAAGATAAAAAAAAATAAAAAAGGATTAACTCTAATTGTTTACTAACTTGGTGTCTTTCTTCCTGTGCAGATAAATCAGCAGAGGATTATAATTCTTCTAACGCTTTGGTAAGTCTATTTACATTGTTCTGAAATGAGCAGGAATGGAAGTAAGGATCAGGATGGTGGTAGTGAGAGCCTGGGCTGGGGCGCCCGCATCTTGTCTACTCTTTAGCACTTGCCGTAGGGTCCTGTCTATGTCATGAAGGAATCAGACCAGTGAACACATTGCTCTACAGTGTCTAACTTTGGAGCTAGAAGACACGCTCTGTACTTTGCACTTGTAGCTCTGAATACTTGTATAACCAATTTGCCTTTATAAGCTTCAGTTTCCTCATCAATAAAGTGAAGATGATACACTCCGTCTTACTAGACATGTCTTCATACATCTGAAATTGAAAGAAGATTCCCTCTTTTGTAAATTGGATATACACCAGTTGCTAAAGGGAGCAGATTCTACTCATTAAAGGTTATTCGTTCTTTCCTCTCACATTGTAGCTTCACTGTAACTTCAAGGGATGTTATAACAATCATCAACAAATTGGCTGGTTAATAAAACTAGATGACCTCAAAGGACCTTCTGTCTCTCTCAACTTGTAAATTCTACTTACCAGGGCAATTAAGAGTATAAAATGTGGTTTTGATATATTTGAAAGGGTCTTACAAACAGCAAAATGTAATACATGTAAGAGAATACTGCTATTCTTTACATCTGATATCATCTCCTAAAGGAAGGGTGGTTGTGCCATATTGATTTACTAATCATTTACAAAAACCACTATTACATGCCCGCACCTGCATGGAGAAGTGATACAGCGATGATTAGACATTGTCATGAGACCTAAGGATCCCAGGCTCATGGAGGACACAAAGGTACAAATAAATAGCTGTGATTCTGTACACTACACTTCATGAGGGCAAGATGATGCCAGACCTGTTAATTGCTGTGTCTTTGGCATCTGGCAAGTTTTGACATTCATTTGACATCTATTTTTTTTTTGTTTGTTTGTTTGTTTTGTTTGTTTTTGTGGAACCGGGGATTGAACTCAGGCTCTTGCACTTGCTAGGCAAGTGATTATTCAACTGAGCCATCTCCCCGGCCCCGACATCTATTAACTGAAAGATCCGGTGTGTCGAGAGAGCTTCTTGATCACTCAATGAGTGAATTATCTGGGCCAAAATTGAAGGCGAGATGAGGGTATTCCAGACAGTAAGAGCTTTGCACATGCATGAGCAAGGAGGGTCACAAAGTATGCTCGTGCAGGGAACTGCAAGTAGTGTGGAATGACTGGAATGTAAACTGTGAAGCATAGAGAGGAGGGTAATAGGGAGGAGTGATAAGCAAGCCAAATCATGTAGACGTTTGACTCTGTCTTCAGGGTAATGAGAAACCTAAATAATTTTAAACAAGAAAGTAAGGCTAAAGCAATACAGAGGCACAATAAAAAAAAAAAAAATGTGTACTATTCTGCTAGTGCTGGGAATTGGTTTACGCTGAGTCACTTACACCCTTACCAATTATAAAGTCTGGCTCACATGTTCAGCACCTTGCAGCATATTGAGTCTTTTCTTACCGTCTCTTTTAACCTTCACAGCACCCTAATAAGGCAGGGTTTTTACTCTTGTTTCCTGATGATAAACTGGAGCAGAGAAGGGTTTACGTCGGCAGGCATCTGAGTCCTAGTCTGCGCTGCTTTCATCAAGTGGGGGGATGTGGTTAAGAGGGAAGGATTTGCAAAGACTAGATCTTGGAACTGTAAAATATTGAAGAAAGGGCCTAAACAAAGTTGAGTTGTGCCTTGTGGTTCAAAGGCCTTATGCTTTTGTCAGAAGAGTAATAACTCATTTATTGAGGGGCTGTTCTGCCGGGTTAAGACCTTTATATATGTTAGCATAATAATTCTCACAATCACTTTGTTAAGGAAATATTATCTCCATTTCACAAGAAGAAAAACAAACTTTTCTAAAGATTTACAGTTAGAACCATACTGAAGCTAGTCTTCTGAACCCCATGCCAGTTTTATTCACTGTGGCAGAGAACAGAGAAAGATGTCAAGAGGTCTTATAAAGGAGACTGCAGTAAAGTCACAGCTTCGTTGTTTGCTAGTACAAAGGAGGAGCCCTGGGGCTCATGCCATATGGCAGAGAGGATGACACCTGCTTGGTAAAAACCTGTACTCAATATCTACCATCCAGGCTGTCAAGGACATTTTTCTCCCTTAATTTAGAATATTTGTTCCTGTAGCTCATTGCTCTGTGTTTTCTTACTAGTTTTATCTGGAGAATATGGTTTTTATTGTGGTTGCTCGTCTTGGGTTTCACAGGGATCTTTAAATTTGATTCGTGAAATAATCAGAGCAGTGTTACTTCCAGAATTCAAATTAAGAAATTGTGACTCAGAACGATGAACTGACTTGCTTCCTGTTCTTGAGTCAGTACAAATGTGTGCCAGATTCCATTCTTCTGAGCATTCATTTATTCACTCATACCATAAATATTTCCTTAGTGCTTTGTGAATGTGTACTACCTTGGACCTTGAGGGGAAAAATTAATAACAGCATAGGGAGATAAGAGCTGCAAGAAGCAGGGTAGGAATAATGTGCAATGGGTCACATTTCATGGAGTGATTTATCTACCTGGTAATACAGGGAAGTTTGCAGAGAGTTAGTTACTGGGTCCTAACTGTTTATTTAACAAACATGAGTGTGTGTGGGGGTGTGTGTGGGGGTGTGTGTACGTGTGTGTCTGTGTGTGTGTGTACTGAACCCGGGGTCTTCACACTGAGATATTTATCCAGAACTTCAAAAAGTTTTAAATTTTGAGATGGGGTTTTGCTTAGTTAATCTGGCTTGGCTCAAACTTGTGATCCTCCTGCCTGAGGTTTTTAGGGTGCTGGGATTTCAGGCATGTACCACCATCACAAACATGATCTTTAATGATTTAATTTAGATTTAATTTCTACAAAAAAAAATCTGGATTTGAGTTATGAACCTGTGAGTCTATGATATTTTAGTTCTTGATCCGTATGTATAAAATGAGTACCTCCCATATGATAGGTTCTTTGGGTGCTGAGAAATCAGAGTCTTTGTTTTTGATTGCACAATTTAGTAGAGAACCAGAACATGTAAACAGTGTTTATTTTATAGTGTCAGGTGAACACAGGTGGTGAGAAAACTGCTTTCCTGCCTGAGAGATACCATGAAAAGTAAGATTAAGGTTCTAATATTTCAGGTCAGAGGACTTGGACTCATGCTAAAGTTAAGAATTCATCTAAAATAAAACATTGATATAGTTAAATGTGTTGGGGGCAAAGCTGTTTGTACCTTAGTATCTAGGACAAGGCCCTGGCTTCTCGTGAGTCTGGCAGGGCTCCATGGGAAGTACGCACAGCTGAAGGAGCTGATGCACCTCGTGACGTGACCTCTGCTTGAGGTAATGCAGACAGTTTTGTCTCATTCCCTGTGAAGCCACCATTAAGTAGATATTTTTCCTGTCCCAGATCCTGCCCTCCCTGTAAACTTTCCGTGAACTTGTTCTTATGCTGATTGTATAAATAAACACCCCCCAGGTGCTGAGTGGTTCCTTTCTCCCACCGGGAGAGAGCGCTGTACTTGACCTCAGCTTCTGCATATTGACTCCTGCCTTCTTCATCTTTCACTGTCTTCCCTCCGAATTTGCAGAGCTTTGCTGGATGTGGCATGGATGTGCAGTTAGTCTAAACTAATATCATAGGTTTCCTCTTGTATTTGTTCGAGATAATGAACTGAATTTAAAAGCCCATCTGTCTTGCTAGTGCAAATTTCTTAATTTTGGAAAGATACATTAAAAACTAAAACCAGTGCTCTACATCAAAAATCAGTTATTGTGAGGAATTTGTTAAAAATTGAAAGTAAGTCATATTGATCAGAGTAGAGGCAACCATAGTTTAAAGTGAAAGAGAAGACTCTGAATGTCAAGTAGCTCAAGAGAAAAGGACTGCAGGGACTTTCTCTGGTCTTTGGTCCCTTCCTCTTTGGCAGCCAGCTGTGTTTCCTGGCCACCATGACTCTGGCAGCTTGCTTTCACCCCACCCATGCTGTCTCTTCTTTGGAACCTACTTGGACTAAAACCTCTCCAAGTGTGAAGCAAAATAGACCCCTCCCTGAAGTGACAGATGTCAAATATTTTGTCCCAGCAAAGGGAAAATTGACAAGTACAATGCCTTCAGATGGCCATTCTTTTATTTTTGTTTTAGTGAAACTTTAGGAAATCAATAACATGTTTTTGAGGTTGGAATAATTGGTTATTTTCTTGTTAATATATGTTTACATTCTTTTTGTGATGTTAGTACATGTACACAACACATCTTAATTCCTTTTTCCTTTTGTATGCCACATTTGTATTATCTAGAATTTATAGGGCCAGAGAGATGGCTCAGTGGAATAATCATTTGCCTGGCAAGCTCAAGGGCCTGAGTTCAATTCCCGGTTAAAAAAAAAAAAGACAGTTTATGTAAGTAGACCAACACAACATGGCTTCTGTTACTTAGCATAATGTTTTTGAGGTTGATCCATGTTATAGCATTTATCAGTACTTCATTCTATTTATACTTAAACAATATTGTCTTGTATGGATTTACCACATTCTATCTCATCATAACTAATGTGTTCCTGGAACTGTCTTTGCTCTGGCTATTGTAAGCAGTGCTGTTGTCACCACCCATGTGCAAGTTTCTATGTAGATAAGTGTGCTCATTCTCCTAACTGCAGATCTATGAAGTGGAATTGCAGGCTCATATGTTAGCCGGATTTTTAGCCTTTTTAGTGTGTGTACTGCCAAAGTGAACACTATTTTTAGCCTTTTAAGAAACCTTTAGACTTTTTTTATTGTTGTTGTTGTTTGTTCTTGTGGTACTAGGAATTGAACCCAGGCCTCCATACTGAGCTACATCGTCAGCCTTTTTATTTTTATTTAGAGCCAGGGTCTAAGTTGCCCAGGGTGGGCTTGAACTTGGGATCCTCCTCGCTGCCTCACCCTCCCCAGGTGCTGGACTGTAGCTGTACATCACCACGCCTGGCTTTGCCAGAGTG